ACTCAAAGGGGCAATGAGTGAGATTTATTTAGAGCCTCGGAGCAGAAAATCCACATCTGTGAGTCCTGATAGCGTTGCAGATCGATACTAATGATCTGCCTGGAACAGATGCTGATACTTCTGGCTCCAGAAAACCTACATAATCTATTTTGGAACAAAAATTCCTGAACTGATGATGTTAAGAGACTCATAGCCTTCAGGGACTGACAAACACGTAAATGTATAGGCTAAAAATGTGGAAGGAGACAGAAAAATGTGAATTTTGTGAAAAAAAAAAATTCTGACACAGTGCTTATTTGTCCACATCACCTCCAGAGAAAGAGTCAAAATTAGGAAAAGTGTTTATCAACATATCAGTCAATCCATCCATCCTTCCATCTGGGTGGGCTGAAGTCTTTCCCAGCTGCCATAGGGTGAGAGGCAGGGTGCACCCTGGACAGGTCAGAACGCACCAAAAGCTAAAATTACCCTCATGGTTTTTTTTTCTTTATTAAACTACCAAAATAGCTACAGAGAGACTCAAACATCCCTAAAGACACACAAAGCACTGAAAAAAGACCACTGTGGCTATGCAAATGGTAACCTGCAGTTTCTCTAGTGGTCACTTGAGGCTGGCTTCAAAGGTGAGTCTGTCCTCATAGCCTCTTTGCATAAACTTTGCAGCAGAAATAAACATGTTTGCAGCCTGACACAAAACGCACTTGTCTCCATGAAGAATTTCCTCCTTCATAATGATAATGAAGACAGTAGATTTGCTTTTATAAGTCACCCATTTAGTTTCTATTACAGCTTAAAGTTAAAGTAGTGCCACTTTGAGTTCAGTGGCTCCACTGACCTCTTCGTTGTGTTTGCAGTTTCGCTACCTTTTGGAGCATTTTTTGCTTCGACTTGTTTCAAACATAAGAAGTTTGTACTCACTTTGGACTGTTTAGCAAATATCTGCATCTGTGCCTTACACCTTTATAACCAAGCCTGCTAGTATTTGCTAATAATTTACTTATTTTACTTAAACCTTTAGTCTGTAGTGCTCAGTGTATCATCCCATTTTTTATGAGAAAGTTATGAGACTTTTCCATCATCCTTCTGTTTTTCCCCCTGAAAAACAAATAAAACCCACAATACATTTTAGGCAATTTTCATCTTCACCAGTTTTGAAAGAAATTTGTCAAATGGTTCAATAAACTTTCCATTCTCAAAAATTTTGAAATTTTGGGGAATTTTCTGGCTTTTGTTTCATGATCCAAGCGTTAAACCACTTCACATCAGCTTCACTTGTTCTGCCTAAAATCTATTTTTTGACTCAAACTTTGTGTCCACTTGTTTACCTACTTGCCTGCCTTTAACGGCAAGCTGCCTTTTTTTTGTTACAGATTTGGATTTTGGATTTTATTCTGCTTCAGGAGTCAGACCAGTGTCGGGCTTGAGTTAGCTTTAAGTGAACCAGTCTGGGGGCAGAAAATTACAGTGGCCCTGAGAGTTCAAGCGCATTGCAACTTAGAAAACAACAGCTAACAGAAAAATACCTCGAAAAAAAAACAAAAAACAAAACAACCGCGAAACAGAAGGAAAGTGTTTCTGGGGACATAATAACGTGACGGAACAGTGACAGAAACAAAAACGTGAGACACACTTTAATCACGCGACTCATATAATACTGTAGACACACGTTTGCTATTAACTGTTTACTGTTTACTTTGTCACTTCTTTGAGCTGTTCAAAGAAGTGACAAATATTTTTCTTCCCCAGAAACACTTCCATTTTCTATTTTTAAAATTTGCTGAGTTTTTGTATTTCCTGGTGTTTTCTTCAGTCACAGTGCATTTGACCTCTCAGGGACCACCACTGCAATCAGACCACATGTGTCTAAAATATCTTTCTCTGATGTTTTGCTGGCTATGTCTATCTTTTATATACAGTCTGTGGTTTAAAGCAAGCGATTGTTATAGATTTTGCTTTCCTGTTTGGTATTAGCTGAATGTTTTTGTTTATATAATATAAATAACTGAAGCTAGACACCATGTTGTGATTAGGATCGCACCAGCTGAAGTAGATCCTGTATTTTGAACTGAGCTGTACACCTGCTAAGTTTCATGTTTGAATTTTGCACATTTTGACAGACAGACAAAAACACTTCTGCCGAGCTCCTGAACTCTGGCTTTGAGGTGGTTTCCCCTGCTTTGTTGAGGTCTCCAGGTCTCCAGTGAAATCAATATGTCTAATATATGCGTGCTTGGAGAAAATACTGATTTTTGTGGCTTTGGTCACATAACCCTTTCAAAACAGAGAATGGAAGTGTGTTTGCCGTGTGCACCTGTATATCATACACATGTAACATGCGCCTTTTCCCATGTGTGCCTTCCTCTGAGGCCTTATCAGTGTGCATGCCGGCCTGGGCCATGCATCATTTTCCAAAGCAGCCTGACAGCTTTCCTAATCACAGCGTAATTAATCTATAACTCCTGACAGCCCTGACCATTACCCACCATTGTTTAAACACAACACATTATGTAATCGTCTGCATCAGCAGCTGGCTCTGCCTCTGACATGAAAAACAGTCCGCTTTCTCCACCCCTCGCTCAGCTTGCGTTCTTTGCATATAGATTGAACATTAAGATACTAAGTTGTGGCCTTGTAAGGCAGCAAGTGCAAGAAGTGACAGCGTTATTTACTTCATTGGCAGAGGACGGCGGGACAACGAAGTTCTGCCACAGAGGAGGAGAATTAAAGGTCCCGTGAGGCAAATTTGGTTTGGAAAATGTGGGGGAAGCCTTTAAGCACTGCTGTTTATTATTTCTAATGGTCGCGGTGTCATCTTTTTATTTCTATTACGCACATAAACTGAAAACAAATGTGGATTCACACTTTATTCCTCATAAGAAAATCAGCCTGTTGGCAAGTGGGCTTCTGATGCTCATGGAGGGATTTTATTTACCTTTTGGATCTGCTGTTTTCAAGCATCATGGTTTGCTTCT